GGGGAGGATTGCTGGTTAATCGGTGGCACATCTTTTGATTAGCCCCAGCCCCAGTCAACTCCTAATTATATTTTGCAATGAACTGCACAGGGTGCTGAGGTTATAATCCGGGGTGTCGGGAGGGGTGTTGAATCAAATGGTAAATCATCTTTACTCTTTAGACCCGCCTCCCCCCGCAGACACCCCTGGATATAATGGTGATTTTATATCAGCTTCTGCCAGTATAATGAAATACCATCAGTTTCTAATAGATGGTGTTTTAGGGTTTGTGCTGTGCTTTGGGCTTCCCCACCACAGAAACCTGAGAACTGAAGTTTGACAGGAATACTGGACCGTCTGCAGGCCCTCCCAACCCCTGACAAACAGTCCATGATTGTAGCTTAAGAAGAACACAGTTCATTCCCAGTCTGACCTGAAGCGCTTACCTTTCCAAACTGCTCAAAATATTGTTTTACATCCTCCACGGTGGTGTTCACAGACAGGCCACCTACAAATATTTTCTTAGTTCGTGTTACCATCTAGAAAATAGAAGAAGAGAGAGGCTGCAGTTCAGGATTCGTCTCCAGAGCCATGAATCTGAAGAAAAATACTTTTGCAAGAGATGGTCCCACGGCAAGCTTAGATGGAAACAAACCTAACCGCCCTCAGGTCAGCGTAGGCAGCTGTTCTGCAGAGTTTCCAAGCAGAAGACTTTCCACGCTCTGCCTCAAGTTGTAAAGGTCTGAAGCTGAGGACTGGCACTGCAACATATGCGCTCCCGCAATGGGCTGCTTGCCTACAAACATCGGGTTGCAATCACAAGGCAAAAGAGCCAACTAGCCAACCAGCCGCAGCTTCCTCCACCACAAGATCTGCAGCATCTTGTGAAACGTCGCAACCCAGGGCGGTATCTCAGATGCAAGGCCCCGGTTCCCCTGTCAGCAAGGTCATTTCTGGCGTGGCTTTTTGAGGGGTGGCCTCCCTCCCTCCCTCCCTCCTTCCACCTGGTGCTTCTGCCCGTTCACGTCCCAGAAGTCTTCTTAGGAAGAGCCCAGGGGCCAAGCCGTGGCCTACGGTCCAGTCCCCGCTGCTGTCAGCAAGTCACGCTAGGACAGAGGAGGTCTTCCTGTCTGATCAGCTGTGGAAGGTTGCGGGATTCATGTGCTTTTCAGCATCACGGCCATCGGAAAGGTGTCGGGCCAGACTTCCCCTGCCGAGTCTTTTCGCGTGTTCCTGTCTTTGCGGCCACGGCTCTCTTTTATGGCTTGGCTGTTTGTAATGTTGCATGGATTTATTTGGCATTAAATTCTGCACTCCCCTAACGTTTGAATTGTGTATAGTCTTACAGTGCTGGATTTATTATACTTTGCTTTCGCTTTAATGGAAAGCGTTCTCAACATCCTAACAGGTGGGAGAGAGAGGACGAGGGAGACGACACAACGTGCCAAAGTGCATTTCAGAGGAGACAACAGCAGGACCCCCAATTTCCAGCTCCAGAGCACCTTAATCCTGAAGGGCCTCAGGACCTCAGGGGGGTCTTGGAACCGGCTTCCCCCCGCCCTGCTGCCTTCACTCTGCAAGAAAAATCTGCTCCTAATGACTCAATGGAGTGCAGAGTTAATCCACTGCGATTCTCAGTCTTGGAAAGCCCTCCCGCCCCCAGCAAAATACCTTCTGTCACCAAACTGCTTAATGGAATTAACCCAGTTCCAGCCCTGATCCGCGGGAGCTCTTCCTTGGGCTACCTGATCTGCTCGGCCACCTCCCCACGTCACCCCTTTGCACCCCTTTGCACCCCTTTGCCTGGAGTCCAGCAGCCTCCAGGGCATCTGCAGGAGGGGGACCCTGTATCAGAAGAGCTCGGCAAAGATGCTTTGACAGAAAGGAGAGCATCCAAGTGCCGTGCTTCCCCAGCTGAACTTCTGCACGCACACCCCACCCTTTTCCTGCAGTTCTCCTTTCTCAGATTTTAGATGGTGATCTTCTGGAACGAGGGCTTCCCCGACGGAGGAATGTGGCCTTCACGGTTAGAAACATTTCGGTCTCCGTGGGCATCTCTTTTGGGGCCACCAAGCTGCCCGGACTCATTCGACCTTTTTGCCTTTTTAAACAATTATTCTAATTTGAAACGAGAAAGCTGGCGAGTTGCACACAAGGCAAATCCTGCCTCTGGCACCTGGGGGGCTCAGCAAGGGCCTGCAGGCCCTTAGTGATCCCAGCTTGCTTCACCAAATCAGTGATGCCATTTGGGGATGCTTGGGGGAGCGGCAAAAGGTATCTCAGCCCATAGAAGGAAAAGGGACGTGGGAAGCGTTTCAGAAGAGACGCTCCCTAGTTTTCCGGAGAGTAAAAGGAAAGGAGGGGAGAAATACTTTCAGACTTGCAATATTCTGTTAATTTAACCTTACAGTAGAGATAGAGCTAGGATTCATTGCTGTGCTTCTTGTCTGGACCACTTCGAAGGGCTAACACTAACCTACCCTCCCAATCAAAGAGATGAAAAACTTGGCCCCGCACCTTCCATGATGTCACAGCTTCACTGGGTGCGTCCCCCATAATGCTGGAAGGTGAGAGGCTGTGCTGAAGCCCCTGACCCTCCCAATGTATGCCCACCTCTGCTCCAGCATCAGCTGCAATTCCCTGGGCCCCACTGACGCCCTTCAGAAATAAAAATGGCAGCTTCTCTTAGAGGGTGCCCACTTTCCCAGAAAAAGGTCGAAGGGGCAGGGCAGCGCTGCGTTTTGGCAAATCGAGAGTTTGCAGCAGGTGATGTCCCATGGCACCCATTTGGGGAACGGAGAACCCTGGTCCACTACCAAGTCATTGGTTTGGCTCACACACACGTACATGCCCCACAAACAAACCCACACTGTATTACATCTTAGCATTAAGTGTGTGAACCCAGCCAGGAAATCAGTCACTCCCTGAAATGCTAGGTTTTGCACCCAGGCACTCAGAACGGGACTCCCTTCTTGCAAGGCAGACTCTGAATCACTGGGTTAGTCACCGGGGAAGGTCAATGCTATGGGTCACGTGCTCCTCCACTGCCTCCTTAACACTTCCTACGGAGCTGGGTCGTGGGAATCCAGGAAAAAAATATGCAGGGAAGCCTGCAGCGTTGATGCTTCCGCTAGATCTGAGGGGCGCTCATGGGGGGAGAGGTCAACAAAGACAAGGTGGTGGCTGTGACTGTGCAATCAAAGCCCTCTCTCTCTTTTACGTGCATCACGGGGCTTCACTTGCACAGTCGCAGAACCTTTTTAAATCCCCAAAGGATGCCCTGAACTCTGCACTGTAGAACAAACCAGTGGCTGCCCTAGCCACGAAGAAAGGCATCCGGCGTTTATAAAATATGAAGAAAAACGCAGGCTCAGATGCCTTCACCACTTTCTTCTCTCTCCCAATAAACAGATGGGTGACAACATGGCTCTTGGATCCCCTAAAAAGCTACACAGGCCAGTCCTCCCAATTGTCAGTGTCCGTCCTGATCTAGAAGACTACCATTCCCATCGTTCTCAGCCAGCATCGCCACCGCTTGGAACAGGCTGGTGCAGAGACTCCCATGTTCAGCCCCAACAGATTTGCAGTAGCGAAGTTTCCTCACCAGCTTCCACGCGGTGCCAGGGACAGCTGGTGGTCACCCTGACCGGCTCACCCGGTAACTCAGCTGGCCCTTCCCAGCGCCCAACGTCAACAGAACTGCTTTCCACGGAACACCAAGTAGCCAAGCAGCCTGAACAAGGTTTATTGAGTTTTCGTTTTGCACAAAAACCACAAACCCGGCAACTGTGGCTTGTAAACCGTTGCTGATGGTTTACCGAGTCGTGCGCACCAGCCCTTGGGGACTTTGAAAAGCTATGGAGGAACAAAGCTGAAAATAAGGGTACAAGCTACAAAACCACGTTTGAGCTTGTGGGCAACACATATCAGTTCAGGTGGAGAGCTGCATCCGTATATAGAGTCTCTATAATGCTGCAGGCAGCCTGAAATTCCTTCAAATTTTGTCATTTTAATTTCTGCTGCCTAGAAACGCTTGTAGTTTACATTTGGCACTTCGGCACTGCTATTTTACATTTTCTTTCAGCTCGCTTTTTGCCACTGCTTTGTTTTAAACTGTCTTAGGAAAACTTCTGTTCTGAAGACCAACATACTGTTTTCTTCTTTAAAATAAATAAAAATAAAACAATTACGGTGGTAAACGGTACCTACCTTAGGCTGTGCTCTGCGAGGGAAGGCGACCTTTGGGTCAATCTGAAAGAGAAACAAGCAGAACGTACTTTTTCAACCAAGTTGGTGTGTCTACAGCTTCTGCTGGGGGAGCAAATGTTCTCCAGGATATTATACAGAAAAATATCACAGCAGCATAAAAGAACATCCGTGACAAAGGATACGACAACTTGCTGGGTATAACAATCAAAAGACACGATGCCATCGCATTTCCCCTTTGCTCTCGTTCATGAAAGTGGAAGTTGTGCAGGACTTCCAAGTAGATGCGACTATTCAAAAGAATCTTGGGAATTAGAGAAGTGGGCAGAAAACGAAAGAATGAATGAAATTTAAATAGAAATCAATGAACAGGTTTTCATTTAGGAATAAAACAATCCAATGCACGGGTGGGGTAAGGATTTGGGGACCGTGATTGATCACCAGCTGAAAGTAAGTTGGCAGAGGGGCGCAGCAGCGCAAAAGGCAAGGGCAATTTTTGGAACTGTGATATTTCAAATCACGGAAAGTAATAGTTCCATTATATTCTGCACTGATCAGGCCTCGCTTTGGGTACCGGAGGGGCCCTCTTCCAAAACGTGAGAGGATTTCACACAGAAAAAACTCAAGGCCCGGAATAACGGATTTCTGTTACAAAGAGGCAGGTCGCAACTGAGGGATGGGAAGAACTTTCTCCTTCCAGGACAAGCCATTTGACAGTGAAATCAGCATCTGAGGGAGGTTCCCTTTGCTGAATGTGCTCAAGCAGAGGCAGAACAGCTGTTTGTCTGGGATGCGTCAGTCTGGATTCCTGCTCTGGGGGAGACTGATGGATTCAAGAGCCGCCTCCCCCTCGAGGACCTTTTGTCTTTCCAGACGTTCACCTGAGAAGAGAGGCGGCCCTCGGTGATTCTGCTGGTGCTTTACTGATGAGCGACAGACGTTTCGGGGGAATCTGTGCCGCTGCTGATGAGAAAGCCGGTTCAGGGCTGGGTCATTACTGGCCAGTGGGAGGGGTAAGGGGAGCCCCCCCAGCAGAAAGCGGAAGAGCCTCTGCCAGGTCCCTGCCTCTCACCGAAAGAGGAGCCCTCCCTGCCACGCAGGAGAAGCGGAGGCCGTTTCCTTCGGGGCCCGGACACGGCTACCGCTTGGGTGGGCGCCCGCCTTGCCCAAGACTTGCCGGGCGCCTGAACAGCATGGCTCGCGGCTGAGCTGCTTCCTGGGCCTCGCCTGCTCTGGATGGGGGAGGCTCCATCAACGCCCCACGGCAGACTGGAATGGGCCAAGTTTCCCGTCAAATGTGTGGGCAGAGCAGGTGAGGGATGCTCTCTCTGACGCAGGAGACTTTCTCCCTCCCTTTCTCAAGGCGGGGCGCCCCGCCTCCCTCGCGGCCACAGCCCCTTCACTGAGAAAGGAACGGGCAGTGGGGGGGGCAAGGGCCACAGGTGTGATGACGTCATCACAACAAATACTGCGACTTAAGAACTTGCGTCACCATGGTGTGACACAGGCCCCTAATGGCGGCGTCTGCATGATGGCAACCTGCGTGTGGCGCCCCTGGGAGCACAGCATCCTAGGACCGGAAGGACCACGAGGATCGTCTAGTCTGCCCTTCTGCCATGGGCAGCCAAACCACTTCTGCCACCCACGCAAGGGGGCTGCCCAGCCTCCTCGTGAAAGCCTGCCAAGGGCTTAAGGTTAAGGATGCCACTCAGGGTCTTCCCTTGGGGTGGAATGGGAGGGGGGAGCCAGGGAGGCTGAGGGCCCTGGAGAGAGGACTGTACCATCGAAGGCAGGATATTCACCCACCCAGTCACATCTTGGCCGCTAAATACCTTCAAGAATGCCACCTTCCACCCATAAAAGATTCTCCTTTCCTTTGAAAAACATTTCAAATATTGTGACTTATGGTTTTGATGATTAGGAAGAATAGGTTATAGAAAGAAGGGAATTATGATGAAATTGGAGAGAGTGGCTTGATTAGAATTGTATATATAACTGCCGAGAGGAATACTGGAAGCCATTTCTCTAAATAAGCTTTCTGGGTTTCTTTTCTTTCCGGGGGGGGGGGGGGGGGGGGGGGGGGGGGGGGGGGAGTTCTTTTTTCTTTTCTTTTCTATATCTTCTCTTCTGTTTTTTAATTTTTTGATTTTATATTTCTTATGATCTATGTAAAACCTCCTAATAAAAATTACTTTTCGAAAGAAGAAAGACATTTCAAACGCAAGTTCTCTTCTGTGGAATTAAACGAGAGCTGACAGATAAGGGTGAAGGTCCACGCATTCATCTAATCCCAGACCTTGGTGAAGAATTCCTCCTGGTGTCCTCAGCTTTGCTCAGAGGCCACCCGCCAGCACCTCCCTCGCTTAACGCCCGCCTCTGCTTTGACTTTGCACCCCATGAAAGTGGACAGTGTCCTCTCCAGGGGCACAAGGCCAGCAAAGGCACCGGCCTTTTTAAAGACCTTTCCTGCTCCATGCAACACTGCGAGGTTCCCCTGGCTTTCTTCGGACCGCCAGCTGGCAAGAAGGATGCATCCTCCCCCTTTTTTCACTGCTGTTCCTTCCATGTATTGGTTGGCCTCCTTCCCTTTCATTTATTGTTCGGAATCTGGGCCTCAAGCTGCCCCCAGCTGCCACAAAGCTGGGCCGTGCCCTCGTTCCAACCCCCCCCCCCAAAAGAGGCACGGGGAGAAGTTTATCTCTGCATTCGCTCATACAGACGACGTATCGAGATATCTGGCATTTATCTTGCACGCTTCAGTGAATGGCTTCATTGTATTTAATTCAAAATTTATTTTATACAGCGACTTCCATCGTATTAGATTTCAAGGCAGGGCATTGCATGAAATGGAATATGATACAGTTGAGAAAACAACCAAAACCATCAGAGGAAATGTTAGGGCAGGCAGATACGTCAATCCTGTATTGCAAGCAGATTTCACTGAATGCAACCAGGATTTTGACCTCTGAGTAGGCACCCCCATTTTACACTCAGTGAAATCAGCCTTCTCCAGTGTGATATTCTCCAGACCAGTGTTTCCCAACCTTGGCAACTTTCAGATGTGTGGACTTCAACTCCCAGAATTCCACACATCTGAAAGTTGCCAAGGTTGGGAAACACTGCTCCAGATGGTTGGACTACAATTGCTATGACCCATGGCATTCTCCCCACTCACTGGTGGGAACAAACAAAACATCTTGATGTCCTCATATGGGGAAATCAGGACTAGATAGGGTGCAACTTCGTTCATTTCTGCCAGCTGAATGCAAAAGACCCTGCCTTTCCTGGCAATGTGGATATTTTGGAAACCGTGGAATCAGAAAATTTCCGGAACCGAAAGTTTTTCTGTTTTGGCTTATTTATTCAATTTATGATCCAGGGAGCAGGGACCTGAGGAAGAATGCCATGTTAAGTCTACATGCCGGATAAATACCTCCAAGAGTCTTTTCAGACTACCAAAACCATTTGAACCAATTTGGGGAAAACACAGAAAGTACATTTGAGCAGACTAATCTTGCTCAAGGCTCACTGGCCAGAAAGAAATATCATTTGGGGAAAGCTGCCGGTCGGCTAAAATCAAGCAGAATCATAACATCCTTGAAATTAAAAGAGGCAGTAGGGAAGTCCATATACAGCCCTGTTTGCTCTATACTTCTTACAAGCAACATTAATGGCACAATTTTACCTAGAATGGGTCAGTTTCATTCCCATCAGCTTCACTGGAAGGAAGGAGAATGACAACCAAGCCACAACAGAGTGCATAGTATGGTATAATCCAGGTCTCCAATCACGGTTAGTCCTGGGGATTCTAGGAATTCATATCCATGTATCTTGAGGGACGGAGAAAGGGTGGAGGCACTAGTGTGATGAAGGGTTGGGGGCTGAACAAGAGTCGGGGGAACTACATTCAAGTCCACCTTTGGGCATGAAAGATCTATTGGATCACTTCGAGACAGTCATGATCTTCCCTCTTTCCTGCCAATCTTGCAATATTATGGGGGGGGGGAGTTTCCTGGAGGATGAATATAATACATAAATGCAATCATCACCCCCAATCCATGCATGTCTCCCAAAGCTGCACTTATCTGGCTGGCTTTGCACAAAGCAGCCGCTGACACACATCTGGGCATCAGAACCCGCCACTTTCCCTTCTGGATCAGAATTGTTCTGACTGCCTTGCAAGGGGACCATGAGCCAAACGTCCAACTCTAGCTTTTTCTATATTTTTCCCTTCTCCTGTCCTATTTAATAAATAAATAAATAAATAAATAAATAAATAAATAGGAAGAGATAAGGAATACACAGGCATTCACACATGGGCACACTTAACTGATCGCTACATTAAGCCGTTT